TCAAGATTAATATCGTAGAAACCTTAAGTGGCGTGAGAAGTTCATTGTGCCTTATTATTTTGAAAAACTATCTTCTTATTACCCTCGATAAAAATAAAAGTAAATATTTAGGTAAACACCAAGTAGACTGTGGCCCCAGAGCACGATTTCCTTTTGAACCCTAAAAAAATTCTAAGAACAATAATTTATTCGAAATATTCAAATTATAACTACCATTACACAATAGGCATTGTCATTTGCCTGATCGTTCAGCGAGATAGGTTAATTTCATAATTTCTATTTTATTTAATACCTACATATATATCCCTCGTTTTTGATCTATCTTTATCTGAGTCACAGCCGTGTAATCACGCCCGCATGCTCGTACAAGGTCATCCCGACAATCTGTTTACTGCCAAACACTTTTGTTTTATTTCCAGTCGAATGATGGCACAAAATAAAAATTGCTCCAAAATTATTGACGGATTATTATTATTTTTATTAATTCCAAGTCGTTTCCCATCCGGATAATCGAAGAGACAGACGTTGGCAATATGAAATTCATGTATCTATAAAAAATATTACGAAACCGTATAGTTTATAAATTTGCATAATTTACGCTAGTTCTTTTTTAGAAAATGTTTACGTACTGTAATGAGTAGTGAGTCAGACACTATTAACAATGTTTTACACATTTTTGTTCCATTTAATAATAAATGGCAAAACACTATTAGCAATATTTTAATAATAATAGACATTACTGTTGACTGATTGTTTGATTGATTGATTGATTAATGATTATTAAAGACTTCGATTTAAATTAAGCTCCTAAAATTTTATTAGTAGGTATCTACCAAAGATATATTACAAAGTTTTGAATTATATTTTACGAGTTGTTAAAGATAATGTGCCGTTTGGAGCAGGTTTCCTGTAGATGCTATTAACAAATACAAATGCAATGTCGGAAATGTTTTGTGGAGCACGAGAAAGAGGATAAAAATACCGTGTGTTCCAAATTTGATGCTCACCATTGGGATCTTGGAAACAGTAAGAGCTACAAAGGTCGGTTAATTGGGATAACTTTTAGCAAATTTTATGCTGATTCCAAATCAGTTAAGAAATTACGGCTAACTAAAACCGTTTTTGATTTTCAAAAAAAAAAAAAAATTTTGTGATCTTTTTTTTGGCTGTAGCCAAGTAATTCTTGGTCAGAGAAGTTTTGGACTTCTACATTATTAGGGCACTTTTTGGAGACTTATATTTTGGTCTAGAAACGAATGCTCGATAGTCTTTTGTTTTCGAGATATCCGAAGTAAAATTTTGTTTTTCTTATGGCAGCCATATTGGATTTTCCGTTTTTCAGATTGCGCTTAAAAAAGAGCTTTCAGATGATGTATCACATACCGAGGAAAAACAGTTTTTCCAAGGGACTAATTTAAGAAAAGTTATCCATTGTTTAACAAAACAAAATAGTAGGCCATGGAAAATTAAAGTTTTTGTAAAGCCAGAAAAAGGAAGTTGTCTATTCAGACGGCGACTAATTATTATTTCTGAATCGACATAAAAAAAAGAGAATATTTTATTCACAAAAACTGCTGAAAATGATGAAATATGTAGTGTTACCGTATAATTGATAATATCGTGTTATATTTGTGTTAGGTACCTATCATGGATTCTCATAACAATAGTTAGAATGGGACTAAGAGAACCCAAGTAGAGAAAAGAAAGGATTCAAGTTTTTTCCCCGATGAACCGGTCCCCATAATTACTCGGCTGCTTAATTACGATGCCCCAGCACTTTTAGGCTTATTGCGCGTCAATTTCTGAACATGGCATATCCATATTTTGAAAGTGCCTGCTAAAAATGGACAAAATGGCCATTCACCATTTTTATATTTTAACACCTTATAAATTCATGATTTTTTCTTTCAACTTTCTATTTCTCTCAGTTATTTATTAAATATAACATAATATTATTCCATTTAAAATTTATATTCTTGTATCAACGAAAAGGAGAAACTCCCTGCTTTAAACCGGTGACATTGTTTAATTAACAGAATTTTTTTTAAATAAAGTTTAAGAAAACATTTTCGTAAATGAAACTCCTCAAAATACATATTTTAAGCATATTTTTTTTAACGTAAAAAAGATATTTTCTTTATATTATATAACATTGACCGAATATAGTTGATATTACCTAGGATATACAGGGTGAGTCAATAGTGTGTTCTCCTTCGATAACCTTTGAACCGTTAGTGATACAACAATTTATTAAATACAAAAGTTTTTTGGGTCGATAAGATCTATCATTTAAAATTATTGTGAAATCTACAGGGTGCTTAAATTTTCTGTTACACACAAAAAAATACTTTTTTTTAAATGGAACACCCTGTATATTTTGTCACCATTTTATTAAATGAAAAGAGTATTATACAGTGATATTTTGTTTTTTTGGATTTGCATGCAACGTTGCCAAGTTATTTAACATTTTCTGGAAATTTAAGGATTTATAAGGGTCCGTTTAATAATTTTTATTTACCTATGAAAACAAGCTGGGTAAGCAAATATTATACTATTCTTAGTTCATACTACACGCTAAGTATTAGTACCTTTTTTACATTATTCTATTTTACAGGGTGTCCATGACGGCATGTCAATTAATGCGAATTTCAAATGGGAAAAACTCTGTTTTTTTTAAATGGAACACCCTGTATTTTTTTACGTGGTTGGATTCCTCCTTCAAATTGCTTTCTTTTTTGTATAACACTTCCTATACCTAACTGTTGAAGTTTTCGAGAAAATTAAGGTTTTCTCTTTAACCTTGCGATCATAGTAAAAATTAATACAATTTTATCAAGAATGGCTTTGGAAAAACAAAAATTGTGCTGTCAAACTGATATTTTGTGGTTTACACGTAATTAATTTTACTTGGTGGTGATTCTTCTGTATTTCCTAGTTGAGTTAATTATTTTTGTTAAATAAATTATGAATTTTTCACACGAAGAGTTGATCGACATGGTTTATGCATTGGGAGAAGGGGAGAGAAATCCGCTATTGGCATCAAGAATTTATATTCAGCGTTATCCAGAACGAAGACATCCTCACCATTCTGCATTTGAAAGGTTGCGAGAAAGGTTTGAACGAACTGGACATGTAAATTATGAAAAACATGAACGTACAAAACTAGCAACAAATGAAGAAAAAGTGTTTCAAGTTACATTAAGTGTCGTTGAAGATCCGCATAAAAGTACGAGAGAAATTAATAGACAACTTGATATAAGTCAATCCTCTGTAACAAGAATATTGAGGACACAAAACTTTCATCCTTATCATATTCAACTGCTTCAGGAACTAGAGCCAAATGATTTCGAACGTAGGGTAACATTTTGTGAGTGGACACTCAATAAGATTCACCAACAGCCGCAATTTTTTGATTTCGTGCTATTCACTGATGAGGCCACATTTCATAAAAATGGTTGTGTTAATAGACATAACTTACACTACTATGATACCATGAACCCTCATTTTACGAGAACTGTAGATAATCAACACCGATGGTCACTCAATGTGTGGGCAGGGATAGTAGGTGAATATGTAATTGGACCGCATTTCTTTAATGGTCACTTGACTGGGAATATGTACCTCGATTTTTTACAAAATGTACTGGGAGGATTGTTAAACGGGTGTCCTCAAAATGTCTTACAGAGGCTGTGGTTCCAGCACGACGGAGCTCCACCCCATTATAGTATTGCCGTAAGAAACTTTTTAAATGTTACATTTGGTGACAATTGGATAGGTCGAGGAGGACCAGTTCAATGGCCACCAAGGTCGCCAGATTTGACAAAATTGGACTTTTTTTTGTGGGGGTACATTAAAGGATTAGTGTACAAAACATCACCAACTACAAGAGAAGACATGCAGCAAAGAATTCGACTAGCGTTCGACACCATCACGCCTAACATGTTGCAAAATGTAAGTGACTCATTTCTTCATAGAGTCAGAATTTGTAATTTACAACTAGGAGGTCACGTTGAGCATATTTTGTAACTTGTTTTATTTTTTCTCTTCTATTTACTGTTTACGTTCAAAATTACACTTTTATTTTGTTATGTACATACCTAAGGTGAGGTGTAAATTTTGTCATTCAAGTTCAATAAATTTGCTACTTTTACTGTTTCCTTTACGATTTTATAGAAAATAATTTTTCGCCTGACCGCAATTTTTGTTTTTCCAAAGCCATTCTTGATAAAATTGTATTAATTTTTAGTATGATTGTGAGGTTAAAGAGAAAACCTTAATTATCTCCAAAAATACAACAGTTAGGTATAGGAAGTGTTATACAAAAAAGAAAGCAATTTGAAGGAGGAATCCAACCACGTAAAAAAATACAGGGTGTTCCATTTAAAAAAAACAAGAGTTTTTCCCATTTGAAATTCGCATTAATTGACATGCCGTCATGGACACCCTGTAAAATAGAATAATGTAAAAAAAGGTACTAATACTTAGCGTGTAGTATGAACTAAGAATAGTATAATATTTGCTTACCCAGCTTGTTTTCATAGGTAAATAAAAATTATTAAACGGACCCTTATAAATCCTTAAATTTCCAGAAAATGTTAAATAACTTGGCAACGTTGCATGCAAATCCAAAAAACAAAATATCACTGTATAATACTCTTTTCATTTAATAAAATGGTGACAAAATATACAGGGTGTTCCATTTAAAAAAAAGTATTTTTTGTGTGTAACAGAAAATTTAAGCACCCTGTAGATTTCACAATAATTTTAAATGATAGATCTTATCGACCCAAAAAACTTTTGTATTTAATAAATTGTTGTATCACTAACGGTTCAAAGGTTATCGAAGGAGAACACACTATTGACTCACCCTGTATTAAAAATATAAATTATTTTTATTTAAACGTCTTATTTACGTTCCTGGCGGAGTTTAGCACATTGCTATTCCACCACTCGACCAGGACAGGCACACACAACACCCATTCTATCCGACATTTGCCAGATGCCGCAGCTGAGTCTCGAACTCAGGAGGGATATACGGTGACTAGCCGTGTCCTCTAGCCAACTGTGCTACCGTGTCGGC